TTATACATCGAGAGACCAATACTATAGAAATGAGTGCCGGCTTTCGCTATAATCACTGATTTTGGTAATAATTTATTTAAATTAATACGTTTTGAATTGTCTTTAATTTGTTTACTCTTAACATAAATGGATACCAAATAGCGAAGCGGTCTAAGAAAAAATGTAATCATATTTATAATACAAAAATAACTTTTAAAACTTAAATAACACCAACAAAACAGAATATTTTTCATTTAACATTATAAACATAATAAGAAATTACTATTAATAATACAAGAAGTAACTAAAATGTTTGAAAATAATTCATTATTGTATAATGTTAATTGTGTAAATTATACAGTCTTTAATGAATAATGATAGTAAGTAAGTATCGGATAATATATTTTATTGTATTATATATTTAATTATAAAACATTAAATAAATATATTACAGTATATTAGATATTATTTAATTTTATATAACATAACATTTACATTAAAACTAGTAATAAACAGCAGAAGCAAGTTGGTATTTGTATAAAAGAATGAAGTATATATTAATACTTCATTAATTAACTTGTTATTTAAAAACTAATAAAAATACATTACAACAAATTATTAATATATAATTGATAGACTTTATAATATTATAGCTAAATAATAATATTTAAATATCAAATGTAAATAATCTAATCAGTTTGACATTTACAATAACTAGCAAATTCCATAAGTGTAAATTAGGAGTAAACGCTATAAGTTATAACAATTGTTCACATTATTCATTTTCTATTCAAATATAATAATGTAAATAAACAAGTACGTTTATTATTACTAATATAGGAAAAATTAACAAGATCAAACAATAACCACGTTCAAAAAATAAAAGCCCCTATACATTTTGAATTGGCTGACAATAACTAATATAATGTGATATAAATGAAACACTCAATATATGCCAGCATACTATTTATTTAATGTTTTATAATTTAGATTATATTTCCACATTTATATACTTAAAATAAAACATTCTTAAGATATTTATTAGTAATATCATTTATTACATTTAATATAATAGTAATCTACCATAAGTATCCAATAGTTATTACTGATTACAACCATTGTTATCAAAAAATTTTGTTTTTACGCGTATTATAGATTTTTACGCATTTTATTCTTTTAAAAGTTAATAACGAGAAATATTTTAATAATTAAATAATATTTATATGAATGTTTTACTGATAATAATTTGAATAAAATGTGTGAATTATTAGATAGTTTTAAGATATGCGATAATATTTCAACTGATATCAGACCAGAGATATCAAAATTACATGTTTTTAATGATTATGGTGAAAACACAAATTTATTATTTGTGACAACAGATCAACGAGTGTTTGGGTTTGGTAATAATTACAGGGGATGTCTCGGATTGGGACACAAAAATATTATACAATCACCACAAATAATACCACAATTATGTAATCAAAACATACAATATTTTGTCAATGGAAGTAATTATGTGTTAGCAGTGAATGATATGAATATGATATACGGATTTGGCGATAATTCTAGCGGACAACTGGCCCGTGAAAACAATCATTATTCATGTCGAACACCTGAAATAATATCGTACTTTAATGATATAAATATTATACAAATCAGTTGTGGTAGTGAACACACTCTAGCCCTAACAAGTGATGGCCGGGTGTATGCCTGGGGTGGGAATGAATGGGGACAAATTGGTTGCGGAAATAATAATGAATATATTTATACACCAATTAAACTCGTTTTCGAAAATTATGAAAAAATTAAATCAATTTTTTGTAATAATGGTTCATCATTTGCCATCACATCGGATGGACATGTCTTCAGTTGGGGTAACAATAAAGTCCATGAATTGGGGCACAATATAGACGATGATAAAATAATGCAACCCCGAATGTTATCAAACATAAATAACGTGATTGAGATCACTTGTAGTCTATCTAACATATGTTTTTACACAACAAATGGAATATATTTGTTTGGATATTATAAAGAGCCAAGGTCCACTGAACAGATTCTCCATAAAATATCCCCAAATTTTATAATTCAAGAATTCCAAAACTATTACTCATATATTTTTCCAGAATTTATATGCATTTTATTAAACGGTAAAATACACAAACTTTTTGGACCATCAAAAATTGTTGAAACAAATTATAGCAATTATATTGAATTCTACGCCAATGAACATAAAATCACATTTAACACAATCGATTTGAAGCAAATTAATAAAATATCAAGATCAAAAGAAATTGAACATAAACTAGAAATTCAAACGCATCAAATTTTACTTAATGTTAATAAAAAGAAAACTATCGGTATATACGAAACCCAATTCATAGAGATGTCAGTCATGGGTTCGGGTGGTTTTGGGACTGTATTTAAAGTAAAGCATAGATTGGATGACAAGATATATGCCGTTAAAAGAATACAATTTGAGGGTAAATATGAAAATTGTTTTACAATTTAAAGATAAAACATAATTATGAATACAAATATAAAAACAATAAAAATATATTTACAGATCGTAGCGATGAGGCGAATGAATTTGTTTTGAAAGAAGTGAAAAATTTAGCAAAACTTCATTCAGAATATGTGGTCACATATTATCACTCATGGCTTGAGTCCAATCATCTCTTCATTCAAATGGAATTCTGTTCACAAAGTCTTAAACCTGTTTTGAAAGACAAACCCATTGTCTTCGGGAGACAACCGGAAGACCAGATGAATGTCTTTGAATATTTTATTTCATGTGAAATATTCAAAGAGATCTTAGAATGTGTTCAATACCTTCACGAGTCTAACCCTCCTATCATTCATAGGGATCTCAAACCCGATAATATACTAATTGATCCCAACTTCAGATCCAATCGTTTCATAAAACTGTGTGACTTTGGCTTAGCCAAAGAGATCAACATTAATGGCCACACATCGAGCCGATACGGCCACACATCAGGTGTGGGCACTATTAAGTATATGTCTCCCGAAACACATTTGGGTAAACAATATAACCATAAATCAGATATTTATAGCCTTTACGTTATCGGCGAAGAGATATTTAATATCGATCTTCAGGCGTAAGTATTTTATAACCATTTGATTATTTAATAATATTATTGCATAAAAATTTATATACAAAGTAATTAATATTTATTAATATATATTTTTAATTAATTTATAGATCACAAACTTTTATGGCTAAGGAATCGGTGATCAAGACATGCCTACAATGTATGTATCGGACACTTCTGGCAATGATGTCAACACCCTTTTGGAAAGATAGGCCGGAGTGTCGGCAAGTGTTGGCTAAATGTAATGAATGGGCTATCGATAAGTCTATTGTTACAAAACATAAAGATTTCAATTCAGTGTTAAATAAGCTTAAAACTAATAATAATTCAATTTTCTATGAGATTTTGTTGCGAAAAACACAATCACTCCAAACAAACTCACAGTTAAAACCAAAAATACTAGTAAAACCTAATATACTGTCAAAACCGGGAACTTCTTTAGACCAATATAAAAATTAATAAAATTACCTTATTTCATAACTTGGTACTCTAGACATACAAATAACCCAATTCAAATATTCTTATATAATAGTATAATAAACAAATTATACACATAATCTATAACCCTTATACGTAACATATTTAAACTCAATTAATGTTTTTATAAAAGCTTGTTTCAATTTTGCACTATTCTTACACAATTTATTAAAAAATTATTGTTAGAATAAACTTAAACTTAAACTTAAACATAATAGACCATGGTGATATTATATAACTTAATAACGCAGGTAAAATATCATTAACTTGTTATTCAGGAACTGATGTAAAATGAATAATCAATGATACATGTGCATCATTGATCATTTTTATTGCCATTAAAATATTTTATCAAATATCAATATACAGTAATTGCCAACAAACAAAATAAAGTTTAATTTATTAATCAAAATATTTTTAAACAATAATAAATTAATTTAAGAAATTGGAGTATCATTTTAATGAATATACATAATAAGAATCTTATGTAATTTATATTGTAACAAAATAAATCCAATGTAATTAGTATAATTAATTTGTTATCAAATTTATTGACATTTGTATTATAAAGAAATTATTAAATTAGTAAACATAATTACAATTGAATTACAGACAATTAAATTACAATTAATTTTTCTCAATGACACCAAAAGAATCAAATATTGTATAACCCACAAACAACAATCAGCTATTTGCTGAAGTATCTATGTACTCTTGGGATCCAGACTTTTACCAGGGATCCCCTAGGTCAACATAGCTCATAATGCACATGTATGTTATAGGTAATCCTAAGTATTTTTGTTTATTTATATATGAAACACTATTTAATGAATGCATTTGACAAAATTTGTAGATTAAATCATCATCAACAATTTTAATTTGATGATTCAAATAATAATTTGACTCAACTAGTAACAAACTTATGGGTCGCGTGTTTTTAGTGAAAGCATCGATGTCTAGGCTATAATCAGATGCCTTAATAAACTCGAGCCGTAAATTGATTGGTTCGCCAGAATCCGGGCCAAAATCGAAAGCATTATTTTCGATCACAAAATTTTTGTCAAAAGATAATTGAATTTCACGCAAAGAATGCAAATTTTTGAACGCATTTCCAGATATTCTGAGCACAGAATTGGCCAAAGAAATTGACCTCACATTCTGTAACCCATTGAATCCCATCCCCGGTATATACACTACACTTGTGTTATACATATGTAAATACGTCAACCCTAACAACGTGTTAATTGCCCGCAAACCGGAACCATTGGACGAGAATGCGTTATAAAGTGGTGTATTGGCTATTGTCAGATATCGTGTATAACCATGGTCGTAGGCAAATGCGTCAGGGTGAATTTCTCGCAAACTATACGCGTTTTCAATTACAATCGTGGTAAACACATTATGGTCAAAAACTTTGGCTGGTAACTTTTCGATGTAAGTGTTGTTGAGATAAAATGTGCTGTACCGGGTGAAATTGGGACTGATATTTATAAATATGCCAACAAGGTCTAATGGTCCGGTGCCGCCACAACTTATGTCCCGCACGTTGTTTGAGTAGACGTGACACATACATGGCGCGAGTGTCTCAGCATCTGGACATCTAGATCCTAATAGTCTATCATCGTGGTATTGCGCCCCTTTATGACCATGTATTGCCACAGTTAATAGTGCCAATTGCCATAATGTCACTGGAAATGCACATGTTAGATTATCATGTTATATATTTTATTTATATACTAAATCTTACACAACAGACTCATTCTAGACTTTAAATCTAAATTCACTTTATTATGTATATTATTGGCGATTATTAACAATGTATTAAATAATATAAAACTTTAAAAGTTATTACAAATACAAAAAAAGAACATTTAAATATTTTGATGATTATAAATTAATTGTTAAATATTTGAAATGTATCATATTAAAATATTTCTATTGTAAATATAATGAGTGTTTTAGTCAATATTTTACATAACTTCATGGTTAATCATAAACGTAACATATTATTTTAAAAGCATACTTTATTATAAAAACTAAATACGGTAGAAGTGAATCCATGATAAATTATGTTATTATTAATAACACGAAAAATATTTTAGTCGTTAAAATAAATTCAAGAATTTTAATGATAAACAATACTTTGCCATTAATTATTAGATAATTAGCCGCAGCTATAGTCCATGATTTTAATATCCAATATATTGCCAAAAATTTTAGTCAAATATTGATTTATTTGAACAACCGTGTGATTATATTTGGCAATAGTTGATAAATATGATTATGTTTACTGATACTGTTATGTATACTTTTTATGCCATTTAAACATTTTGATATATAATATTATCGTAAAACAAATGATCTGTAAATATAATAAATTATATCATTATTATTATTAATTATAATTTATTAATATAAATAATATGCTTTATCCAAACTTTATATCCTTGAAATCGATTGATTTTAAATAATTTCCAACAATAAAAGCCAACCCTTTTCTGACCCAAACGCTCAATAAATGACATCAACTATTGATTAGAAAATAAATAATTTATTAAAAATGTTTAAAAAAATTTAAAATAAAAATATACTTTTAATTTTTGATAAATATTTTTCCGTTTTATTAAATACGATGAATTCAACAATTTGTATGATTTAACGGTTTGATTGTGAAGTATGGATGAAAAGTGTATTAAAAATATTAACGCTAAAAATAATTCAATTGATACGACAAATGTAAAAATTTTTGCGATAATTATTGTCTGATTATGTGTTGACGTAAACAATAGTAAAGCAATGCACCACGAAATCAGTACCCAATATATTGCCAATATTTTACACCAAATATTTTTGTTATATTCAGTGATCTCTAAAAATGTATCGTTATATTTAACAATACATGTCATATAATTTTGATCATGTGTTTTCTTAAGTATATTATCAATTGATCGCAATTTATGAGTTAAATAATATGTTATAATTGAATAGTAGACCAATTGCCACATTAATATATCAAAAACAGCGTTAAAATAATATATCCAAATAATTGAGTGAATTATTATTAAAATTAATAATTTTATCTTAAAATATAATATTAGTGCTATGAGAAAAGTGAGTGAATACGATAACGTGGTGATAAAAATATTTGTCATTTCAATTAAAAATTTACTGAATTTCAACAATTTATAAACGAGTTGTATGTCTTGAATGCCAATACTTTTAGGTGTTATAAAACCCGAAAGCATTTCAAATACTCTTAAATCCGTTGGTTTTATACTTCTCTTGTAATTAATATAATGTATTATTTGTGAAATTAAAACTATTAGATCACCAAGCACGACATTTGTACCAAAGTGAATTTTCATACCTATAAGTGAAGGTAAATCACCGGTTAGTTCATAAATTAATGGATTTTGTTTTGGTAATAATATTAATATAATATGTCTTAGCATCAGAAAAAATATTGTTATAAATATAAGTAATGGATGTTTGAATGTATTTCTATAGGCATTGAACGGCTTATACATCGAGAGACCAATACTATAGAAATGAGTGCCGGCTTTCGCTATAATCACTGATTTTGGTAATAATTTATTTAAATAAATACGTNACGGCTTATACATCGAGAGACCAATACTATAGAAATGAGTGCCGGCTTTCGCTATAATCACTGATTTTGGTAATAATTTATTTAAATAAATACGTTTTGAATTGTTATTAATTTTATTGCTTTTAACAAAAATGGATATCAAATACCGAACCGGTCTATGAAAAAATGTAATCATATTTATAATAAAAAAAATAACTTTATAGATTTAAATAACACCAACAAAACAGAATATTTTAGATTTTAAACATTATAATATTGCAACTAAAATGTCTAAAAATAATTATTTGTAATATAATGTAAATTGTATGTATTAATAGTCTATAATAATGTATTATAAATAATGACAGTAAATAAGTATCATAATAGTATAATTAATATATTTAATTATTAATTACCTATACAAAAAATACATTTTATCAAAACACATTAATATAAAAATGAAATTCATTTTGCTTATTGGTAATAAGCTATTTTGAGTTTAACGCAATTACATATTTTTATTATTGCATCTATATAGAAACATTTTAATCAATTAACAAAATAATAATTAATAATTTAATTAGTATTTATAACCTTGTTGACTTTAATATGTACATACACGAATACGGTATGTGACATACAATTTCTCACTACTGGTACAATATAACATGTAACAATGTTAGATGTTTCTAAAATTGGTACAAATTGTTGTCATTAAATACTGCAGTTATTGCACATATAAAACCATTTGTATTCTTATGTCAAACAAATAAAACAGAAAATTAGGTAAAATTGTTGGTTTTGTTCGCGTATTAAAAACACAATCATATCAATAATTTTTAGCAATTATTGTGTTTTTCAATAAATATTCCGATTCTGCAATATTCTTCCCGCATCCTTCTTTGTGTATTAGATGTTACCATAGGATAAATGCATAATGGATAATATAAACGTGATATATCGCCATCACCAGTGATATAACCAGCCAGTCTCAACTTTATGGGTCGGGTGCCATAAGTGAAGGCATAAAAGTTTAGGTCACAATTGAACACTCTATTAAACTCGAGCCGTAAATGCATTGGTTCGCCAAAATGTGGGCCAAAATCAAAAGCATTTTCTTCGAGCCAAAAATCTTCGTCAAAAGACAATTGCATTTCACCCAAAGAATTCAAATTCTTGAACGCATTTCCAGATATTCTGAGCACAGAATACGCCAAAGAAATTGACCTCAAATTCTGTAACCCATTGAACCCCATCTCTGGTATATACACTACATTTGTGTTATACATATGTAAATATGTCAACCCTAACAACGTGTTAATCGCCCGCAAACCAAAACTATTGGATGCGAATGTGTTATTGAGTGGTGTATTGGCTATTGTCAGAAATCGGGTATAACCATGATCGTAGGCAAATGCATCAGGGTGAATTTCTTGCAAACTATACGCGTTTTCAATTACAATCGTGGTAAACACATTATGGTCAAAAACTTTAGCTGGTAACTTATCGATATACGTGTTGTTGAAATAAAATGTGTTGTATCGGGTGAAATTAGGACTGATATTTATAAATATGCCAACAAGGTCTAATGGTCCGGTGCCGCCACAACTTATGTCCCGCACTTTGTTTGGGTAGACGTGACAAACACATGGCGCGAGTGTCTCAGCATTTGGACATCTAGATCCTAATAGTGAATCATCATGGTATTGCGCCCCTATGTGACCATGTATTGCCACCATTAATACTGCCAATTGCCATAATGCCACTAAAAATAGACATGTTAGATTATCATGTTATATATTTTATTTATATACTTACACAACAGACTCATCATAGACTTTAAATCTAAATTCACTTTATTATGTATATTAATTAATTGAGTTTATATAAAAAGTTAAATGTTAATATATGATTATTAACAATATATTAAATAATATAAAACTTAATTTTTAAAAATACAGAAAAAACATTTAAATATTTTGATGCTTAAAAATCAATTGTTAAATATTTGAAATGTATCATATTAAAATATCTCTATTGTAAATAAAACGAGTGTTTTACTTCTATGAAATAGTCAATATTTTACATAGTATCATGGTTAATCACAAACGTAACATATAATTTTAAATGCATACTTTATTTTATATTATTTTACATTTGATACTTTATATTATTTCACAGTATAACCACAGCACACAATCGCTTATAAAACAAGACTTTAATGTTAATATGTTACTGTTTTAACATGTATTGAGTAAACAATTGTGATACGGGATTAAATTTGGTGATACCATTGTTTGAAATACACTTACGTTTATATTTCCATTTCTACTGGTTAATTGTAAACATAATTATTACAGTAATTAATTAATTAAAAGCATAATTTTATCATTAAAAATATTCATTACAACGGTTGTCATTACACGATCCGATGAAACGTGTAGTAAAAATAGTGAAACAAAACATTTTTTAATTTTTACGAGAAATGGCATAATTAAGACAAAAATTATAATTTCATTATTTGTTTATAATTTAAGCATATTGATAAGTTTATAATTCAATACAATCAATGATTAAAATAAATTTATCATAATATGCATTTCAAAGTTTAACAAATAAGTTTGCAATAGGGTTAACGTTTTGCAACGCCCACCACAAGACACCGAGCTACTAACATATCATCATGAAACTTGAAAACAGGGGGTATAGGAGTGTTGGGCACTGCATAGGACCGGAACTGTTGTATCATTTTAGCCACAAGTAGTTTCACTTCAAGTAATGCCAAACGCATAGCAATACAACTTCGGGGTCCGGCGCTGAACGGCAGGTATGTATAGGGTTTGATGTGATGACCATTTTCGGGCAAAAAGCGGTCGGGGTTAAAAGCCTCGGGGTCGGGATAGTTGTCCGGGTCGTGATGTATGCCATACACCGGTATCTCTACGAACATTCCCTTCTCGATCGTCACCATTGATCCATTGCTACGACCGGTGCTCAACACCACGTTCTCTGCGGCCACTCGTCTTACGTAAAGCTCTTGAGGGTATTTGCGAAGAGTTTCCGATACGACGGCATCCAGGAGTGGGAGTCGGCAAAGGGTTTCGTAGTTCATGTCTGCCGTGTTTTCATTGAACGCCTCTTTGGTCTCCGCCACCAACCGGTCCTGAATGTGGGGATTGAGTGCCAACTCATACGTACAGTAAGACAGCGTCGATGACGTACTGCCGACGCCTGCGATTAACAATCCGATGCACTGATTGATTATCTCCTCTTTGGTCAACTTTTTGTCGAAGAGTTTATCGTTTAAGACCTGTTCGTTGACCTCTTCGTCCATCTCATTGCCAATGCCTTGAGCTTCGGCCGCATCAGTGCTGGCCTTTATATCCGCGCTTACCGTCTGGTCATTGATGTCCACTCTTTCGGAATCTATAAGTGATTGCATTAAATCGTTGTATATTTTGCCCGATTTCTTGCGCTCAGACATTAAACGTCCGATGATTTGAGTGAAAAACATTAGCGGCGTTTTGCCGTCACCGCCGCCGCCGATCACCGCCTTCCAGACCCGGCTATGAGTGACAAATGGGGGCAAAATCATTGCCGACAACGCCTTAAAGCGACTAAAAACAAAGAATTTAGACGCGTTTGCGACAAACGGGTGGTTTGGGTGCGAATAGGGATGTGTTTTTGTGGCAAAGGCTGTGCTGGCGATCACATCCATACTATAGTTGTTCATAAGTGGCTCCAACTGGACGTCAACCGTCTGACCGCTACTGATGGACAGCTTGTTATCCAAAGCCGGTATAAACTCTTGACAACACTCGTCGATGAGAGGGTACATGCGTTTCAATTTGCCTGAAGTGAACGCTGGGCTCAATATAAGTCGGAGCCGTTTCCAGTGGTCATCGCTAGCGCTGGCCAAGTGTTGGGGAAACAATTGATTTGGATCATTAGGCATAGTGTTACGCAATTTGTGAAAGTCCTCCACCAGAATCTGTTTGATGAGCACCGGGTCCGCCACTATTAAGTGCGGCCCTCGCATTTCGTACACACTATGCGATTCAAAACAATAATATAGATATTATACTGTACTTAAAATTGGTTACAATTATTGTGCAAATATACAATATACAGTATGTATAATTACCCATAGAGTCGGCCGTAAGTGTTATACCACTATAACTCCACATAAGGCCTCGGCTTTAAGAGATGACTTAAAGCATTTCCAAAATATGGTACGGCTTTTGGACCCGAGATATTGCGGTCTTTCCAGTAATTTAGTGAACGATTCCATTTCCTATAATTAATAGCAATTATAATCATGGTAAGTGTTAATCAATTATGGTACATTTAGCAATTCTTATAATATACTTAATATCTTGTCAAACATAAAGTACTGACCTATACTTTCATGTTATATAGATGGCCACAATAGCCGCCAATGAATACCACAGGTATTGAATGATAAATAATAAAAACATTTGTATTATTACTTGTACTAAATTGTCAAATATTTTGTTAATAAAATCTCAATTATTTAATAAAGTTTTACCAAGGAACTAAATACATGGCTGATGTATTCTACTTATATACAGCTCAATTGATTTTGTGCTATACAAATGATTTGCATTTAAAAATATGCTGTTTCATTAAAAACAACTGTTTTTAAAACGATCATGAACATCCTGTTACAAACAAGGTGTTCACAGTCCATAGATAATGACCAGGGTCTCTGTGGCCACCAAGCCCACTAGGGGTGTAAATAAACAATAGATTAAACTTGTTAGTAATTTTAAAAATAAGTAAGAGGAGAACCATGATAATTTTGTATAAATGTATTTATTAAATAAAACCCAAAATAATTAACATATTAACATAAAGTTACATTGAAATAAACATTACAATACAATTAAGACTTTAAAATCTAAAACTAATTCAGACAACATTTTTAGACACAGACAGACCTTAATGGCACTGAAACACCGCTTTATATATAAGGATCTTCAAAAAAATTAGACCGAGTAAGATTGGCGATTACTCTGGAACCATTAAGGTGATAATATTGAAACTTCACACATATACAGATCAACGTCGGGAAGTTCATTGAGGGTTAGAATTTTTTTAATCACGTGACAATTTTTATTCGAAAATGGAGCATTTGCAAGACCCATAGTTTGTGGCTATCGTGTTTATCACAGGGAGGGGTGGGGTGGGGGTTATGTAAAGCAGATGTCAAAGTGTTATAATAACCATAAACCACCATTATTTGATTGCACGTTTTTACATAGCAAGTGAACAAAGTAAGCCAATTTCCCCATGTTAACCTATGGGGACAACAAATAATTTTATATTTCAATATAATTAATTGTATTTTTGAAAAATTTCATTCCAAAGATAAAATATCTTAAATTGAAATATTGAAAATATCGAGAATTTTTGTGTTTTTATGACTAAAACTGAATTTTTCAATTTAAGATATTTTATCTTTGGAATGAAATTTTTCAAAAATTTTTTTTACTAACATTATCAAGATTTAATGTAGTTTTTAAAAATACAATTAATTATATTGAAATATAAAATTATTTGTCGTCCCCATAGGTTAACATTGGCTTACTTTGTTTACTTGCCATGTAAAAACGTGCAATCCAATAATGATGGTTCTTGGTTATTATAACACTTTGACATCTGCTTTACATAACCCCCACCCCACTCCTCCCTGTGATAAACACGATAGCCACAAACTATGTGTCTTGCAAATGCTCCATTTTCGAATAAAAATAGTCACGTGACTAAAAAAAATTCTAACCCTCAATAAACTTCCCGGCGTTGATCTATGTATGTGTGAAGTTTCAATATTATCACCTTAATGTATCCAGAGTAATCGCCAATCTTACTCGGTCTAATTTTTCTGAAGATCCTTATATAAAGAATTAGAATTTTGAGTTAAAATTTTATGTTCTAATAAATTAAAGCTAAATCTAGTTAGTTTATCATATGATTGCTATCACAACATTATTGACGTCAAATACAATGTATCATCATTATTAAAGTTATACATTTTAATTAATAATAGTGTTCCGTTGGTCTTTAACTTGTGAGCTCGTTCATTTTTAAAAATAATATTATTATTAAATTTATTATCTATTAAAGAAATAAAAATAAAATAAGAATTAATTCTAATAATATTATCATTGCATACCTCATAACCCCTTAAATTGTTTATAATAAATAATTTCCAACAATAAAATCCAATTTTATGAACGGCTATTCTCGCGATTAAATTAGAAACCTGTTTATAATTATAAAAATAATTTAGTAAACAAATGTTAATTCACAACTCAAACTCTTTAAATCTAATTAAATAATTTTTATTTACCTTGAATCTTAACTGTAAGGGTATATCAATTTTATGTGAACTGAGATAATTGTTAAGCAATCGATACGTAACGAGCGGTTCTTTGTAAACATAATTAGATATATGAATAATAAATAATAACAATTGTATATAAATAACAAGGTAAAATGTCAACAGCACCCTTATTACAACACTGCGGGCATCGCCTAAAAATGTTATAAATGACAGCATTGCTATGATTGAGCCGATTGTTAACCAAAATATGCCCAAAAACTTTGACCAATACGTGTCGTTATAATCGTTAATTTCAGCATATGTTTTATCTAAATCTTGAATCAATCTAGATATACACGTATATCTGTTTACATTATAAACAGTTGATGACTTTCCAAACGCGTGAATAATATTAATGTTAAATTGTTTTAGTTTTGTTTTTAAGTAATACGTGATTATAAAGTAATACACCGATTGGTAAATAATAATGTTAAACGCATAATGTACCCAAACACCCCACACCAAACCATGTGGTAACCCTATGGCTAACCATTGAGTAGTTGTGAATTTGGCACCAGTTAAAAAGGTACTGGTCATATATAAGGCAACCGTAACAAACGCCATGAATGCCGTAATTCCCTTAACCATTGGTAGGGAATTCCTACAGATCAGAGAAAGTTTGCGCACATCTTCCCCGTGAGATATGCCAATACTTTTTGGTGCAATTAAACCGCTTATCATTTGAAATACATTCAAATCAAGTGATTGGCGACCATTTTTGTAGTTAACGAAATTGATTATCTGGGAACTGGCGGCCAACAAACCTACCAATAAAATGACACTTTTGGCAATGTTACCTGTGCCCATAAAGTATTCAAGGTCACCCCAATATAGCCGGTAAAGTGGCGATGCGTTTGGGCTAGATAGAAATAATATAATCAATCTAATTATTAATTGTGAATGCCACATAAAAACAATAATTGGGTGATAAAATAATTTTCGTTTAGGCGCTGAATCTGGTTTATACAAAGATAATCCGATACGATATAAATGTGTATCAGCACCGGGTATACGCCATTCGGTTGGTATGATATGCTTTGGGTCAAGTTGTACCGACATTTTATCTGCACTATGATAGTAGTTTATAATTCTTGTTATGCTAAATATTTTTGCTAAAAATATATCATTCATAATAATATTCACATTATATTTAATGCTAATGCTAATATTCACATTATATTATTATATTATTAATTTTATATTTTTTATTTACAGTTAGTATAATAATATTTTATAATTATACTAAATTAATGTTTGTTGAAAAATATATTTTTCATAACGTATTTACATTATATTTAGTTTTTTAATTAATATTAATTTATCATAATTATTTTTAGATGTATATTAATTAATAATTTCATGTCTATGTATATTGTGTTTTATTTGTTTAGAATTTAGTTATATAATAAACGATTAGCTTTATGTGTTAATGAATAATTTTAAAAATGTAGCATCCCAAATTAATTGATATGAAACACGCATTTGTAAAAATGGTTAGTTTTATTAAATTATGTCCGCGGAAAGAAAAATTTCTTGACTTTAACTTCAAAACATTAATTTGTGTTCATCGAAAGATACTTAACTCGATTTTTAATATTGACAATAGTTAACAGAGCATATGATTTACAATATTTTTTAGTAACAACCTGTATTATGAAATTTATTTAGTCTCCACCTTGTTAAGTCATGTACGCTGTTTAGTTTAGCTTATCAGTTAAATTAAGTTAATTCTATCGCTAAAAATAATTTTCTCGATTAACATTTTTGAACAATATTTGAAATTAATTTTAATTTTCCAATAAAATAAAATTACATCAAGTTTATTATTTAATTGCTATCACAACATTATTAACATTAAATACAATGTACCATAATTATTAAAACTATACATTTAAATTATTTATAATGTTCCATTGGTCTTTAATTTGTGAGTTCTCCCATTTTTAAAAATAACATTACTATTAAAGTTATTATCTATTAAAAAAATAAAGAAATGTGAAAATATTCTTAATTCTGATATTATTATCATTGTATACCTCATAACCTCTAATATTATTTATTTTATTATAATTCCTTGAAATGTAGTGAAAAACTTTAAAATTAGCCTAGTTTTTGGCCTATCACTTCCATTGAACTAATCATAATATGGAAACACATATAAAAATACAAGAACATAAATGTGTCAATAAATTTACCATGTAACTCAATTTTTATTAAATAATA